GTAATTGCCATCAACGAACGGGCGATGAAAATGTCAGAGAAATTTTGGTAACAGATATTCAGATAAGGAAAAGATTGAGGCAAGAAACTTCACGTTTTTGCAGACTTGATTCATTATCAAAATAATGCGTATAAACTAAATATTCAATTTATATTAGAATTCGCGATTCGAACCTGTTCATTTCTCGGCTTTTAATTTTCTGTTTTGCATTTTAAAAGACGAATTTCCATGTTTCTCGCAATTTTTTTGAATAGCTATGTTTCCTGGCCATCTTTTGGCGCGAAAAATTGACACGGCTACTTGGTGCTTTCCCGCCACTAGGAACTGAGCATAATTTGGAGCTAATGGACTTCCTTTTGAAGACTTTTGAAAAACTATCGCTTGAAAATTTAACCCAGATCACAAATGTCAAGGCCAAAGGGATGCTGCAAATAAGCATATCTGCGATTGTGAAGTTAGCATGAAACAAAAGAAACAAGTACGTTTTGAAAAAAAAAACAATTTAGATTAACGAAGAGTTTATCGATTCTATCCATGAATGAGCTGTTTAGAGAAAAGAGAAAAATATAAAGACCCAAGCAACTTTTCCGATGTTGAATATCGATAGCAGAGGTTCTGTTACCACAAGATTGTACCAAAATCCTACATATTAGTTCTAAAAACTTGAGAAAAGAAATCTTGATATCAGAAAGGGATCGATGGATGGCTGATAGCGCAGTGGAATACAATGGAAGCTAGACTTAAGGAGACAAGGGAAAAACAACAACCACTACAAGACAAACAAACAAGATTATAAAAGAAATTTTCCAAATGTTCAATCATTTTTAATTACATTACGACTGATCAGTTCATTTTCTTAAAATCTAATTCTTTATTTAGCGAAGATTGACTCATGATTGCAAGTTTGTTTACATATTTCCTCAACTACTTGAGCTGGGTTTACAAAATATCGGTTGCATTTTTAGAAAGCGTTCATCAGCTTTTACCACAAGTTTGTGTGAAATTTACTTCATAATCTTGACATTCTGTGACTATTATTATTAAATTGTAAATCTAGAAGGCGACATCTCTCAATCTTGTTAAATCATAACTTTGTTACAGGTTAAGGTTATTCAATTAATAGGCCCATCTGTCAAAACAAAAAAACAACAAAAACAAAAAACAGGGAATACGGTAAAATAGGGATAACAACACAAAGAAGAACCATACCTAAAAAGAAGTTTTCCCTTTCCATCATGAGTGGGCTTGGTCCTGTAACAAATAAGAAAAGAAAAAACTCTTATGAGTGCAGTATGTAAAAGATCTGTTTTAAAACCTCGGTATACATTTCTGTGCATCCACAAGAAAAGGGAGAGGAGGTGATAAAAAGTACTAAGTGCTTTAAGATAGGTCAAATTCTGACTATCAAAATATTGATTTCTTTGACATTAAATGAATCCATGTTTATCTATTGTGTTCTACTGCAGGTCAGAAATTGAAAATTGGATAACATAGGCCACTTCTAATCCGCTTTGAATAGAGGATAAAAACAGTTTAGAGTTTGGGACAGTGATGAACGTGTGAACACCAGTTCATAAAATCATGAAAGACAGTTAACATCAAGATAAAATAACACACTTGTATGTTAAAGAGGTTATTTAAAAATTCAGATAATGCAAGCAGATGTCTACAAAGAGTGTTAAATGGTTTAAATGATTTTTATCCACAGTTAAGTTTTTATTTCCATGAGTACCAAGTAATAAGCAACAATTTTCGACAACTGGAGAAACATGCATCTCATTTGTTATGAATTGTGATTCATAACAAATGAATATTATGGACATGTCAGACTTGCAGCTTTTGACATTTGTTACTTCATAAAAAAGAAGATGTGAACATGGGGTGGAAACCTTCATTGCTTGCACTGACATTTAATTTTGTCGGCATGGTCACTATACCTGCCATTTAAAAAAAAAAAAAAAAAAAGGGGGTGGTGACTCCCTCATGAAAGGGGATGGGATGCATGGAATCTACTGTATGGTGGCCCAAATCATGGATCTAGGTTGTGCTTGGTACATTTAGGATGAAACATCAAACATTTCCTTCAAGGAATTATAAAAGACACACACAAAAGATTACAAGACAGTGTAAAATTGCTTTTGACATTCCCATAAATTGAGAGGAAAATATATTTTAAGGGCCAGTTGAGGGTCCTCTTTTTAAAATTGTTTGGTTCTTTAGTCAACTTAGGATTAAACCACAGGCTATAGGCCTCTGTCAGGGGTATAATCTAACATTCCATTCAGCACTACTTCATTTTTCACATGGAGCTTCATTCCTGGACTGCACAGAGTCTTAGACTAGCATCTCTATGGCATTTTGAGGTATACAGGGTTATGCATCTATTTTTAATCACATATTCAACTGTCTTTCCTGACACAGAAGAGTGTCAACCACAAATTTCAAAATCACAATCAAAATTATTTTTGTAATGTTTGCGGAAAATTCTAAGAATGCTCTTTGAGTGTTTTAAACAATAAAAACAATTGTTCTCCTCGCACTTGTGGGATATGAGGTATGTGGTAATGTGATGTGAAGTGGTAGTATAAAACATGTTCTCATGAAGAACTTGATAAATGCTAAATATGAACTGCTGTTTATTTTTGGCAAACTGTCTTCAATGTAGTATAGACACCCTTCATTTTTATTTGGAACATTTAATGAGGAAACATACGAGTGGATGTATATAAAAACTGAAATATTGTTGTGGTAAATTGAGCAAATTTACAATCATGTTAATAATTATGTATACAGGGTCATCTTTAAAATGTAGCACCTCTTTGAAAAAAATTTTAAAATTATATCAAAAAATTGCTCTTGCTAAATTCTTGACAGACGAACGAAGAAACAAGGAAAAACTGGACAACTGAGGAATTGGGGTCAAAATGAAATGTCAAACAGATCACTAAACTGATAAAAGTTAAATAAAGAAGCAAGTGATAGCAAATAAGCAATTATGCAAAATAAGAAACAAAGACTATCTTTCAGTCCACAAACTGAAACATTCTTTCTGAGAAAGGAGCAACACCAAAAGGACAGTATTCAAATCTATGTGAAATGCTACACAAAACTATTCACAGTTACTGGCAGAAAAATATGTAGGATGCTTTGGTTAAAATATCCATTGCTAACAGTATGACTGTCTGCAAGGGATCCTTCAGCAACACTTTGTGTCATTTGTTTGTCTGTTCAATGAAGTAATAAAAGAATTGAGCATACATTAGGTACAGTTGTATGGTTTATTATCAGGGCACCCTGTTGGGTCAATCAATTTTTCAAATTTCAGAGTTTTCTGCATGAACCACTTGTTAATTAAGGTAGACCATAGATTGGCTCAGATTCTGTTTCAGCATGGGTGGTGAAAGCAGTTCCTGTTCGCATGGTTGAATATTTCTTTTTCAAGTGTAACAATGTGTTTGTTGAGCTGAAGTTTAATTTTTAAAATAAAAATATTACATCTGAAGGAAGCTGTGGGTGGAACTGAAGTAATAATGATGAGGATCTGAACTAATAGTCCTGAAAATAATCTCTCTGTCCACTAGATTTGGCACAATTATTTCAAAAACTGTCGTATAGGTTTTTCTCTGTTTTGTTTTTTGTCTTGTCTCTTTTCGCTGCGTGGTAATAATTTCTCTTTAAAGAAAACATCTTTTGGTACTTTTACATAGTGATTGAGATAAAAACAGTAAACATAATAATAGCAACGGCACAATTCACCTTTGAAGGCCCATTAAAAATATCACTAGAAACTAAGTGTATTTTAAGGATTTCATTTTCTTGTTAAGTTCAAGACATAAATAATCAACAAAATTAATCGCTCAGTATAAAGTCACAACAAATGTTAACGACAAACGCACATTTGATATTATCGAATGACTTGATATCAATTCATCAAATGTTTTTTTTTTTTTAAACGATTAAACGACTGGATGTCACTGGTGCAAAAATGGAGTAAGTAACTTAGAATTCCTTCACTGTCATTTTCTATGTTGAGCAATTTGAATGCTCTGTAACTTGGTATCGTGACGTTTAGACAAAAATTTTTATTTCAGCTGAATATCAAAATGTGAAATCTATAATCTGAAAGTGTTCAAATAAATCTTTAATCTGAAAGTGTTCAAAGAATGATATCCCACTAGAAAAGATTACCATTTGCTAAGGTAATTGGGATTAGGAAATTTTCTTGATTTCATCATTTTAATCACTTTAAAAAGGTATAGACTGAAAATTGATGGTGATCGATGATTCGCAAGACTCACACACATTACGACACAATTAGCCGAACGGATTGAAAACCAGCGTTTCTTCATGATAAATAGATATTAGATATTTCGGTAGAAGTAGGTAAATCTTAAAAAAAAAGCCAACGAATCTCAAAGGTTATTTACTGAGCGTTGTGTCCAGCTTTACCTTTCTTACAATCAGTAAGTCCACTTCATCGCTAGTAAACACCGCGCATAACATTAGCTATATAGACACGCAAGGAAATGCACTTACTTGAGGTAGCCTTTTCTCCCGTTATTATCTCGAATAAATGCGGGTTTAGCAGTTGGATTGCATCGATAAAGTGTGAATATCCTATGTCTCCTTTAGTCATGAGGATATCGAGTAATTTCCCAGCTTTCTGTTCACGAGTTTTTTCTGCATTAACAAGATCACAATCTCCCAAGTCGAACACCGCTTTACTGCGAAGATAGTCGAACAAGAAGGTCCGATCTAGCTGTAAGCACTGCACAATCTCCACCCGATTCTTCTCCAAAATATCTTCAAACGTCTCTTCGCCCATTTCCATGCTCAGGTATTTGATTCAATCATACAGAAAATGGCTCGATGCACGACTTTACTTCAGCTTATATGGACTCACGTTTGGCAAACAGGAAGCCAAATTACTCAAGCGTAACGTAACGTGACCCCAATCTGATCAAAACTTTATTTCTCTTTTTTAGTGACGAAAGCGCTCAATCACATGATTTCGGCGCAGGGTGTGGTGTGTTAAAGTAAATACACAATGTACAATGTAGTTCTCCACTGTGAGGCAATTTCCGTACAGTTCACCGTTCGAGCCAAAAAAAAGGCAGATTGGGTGCATATTGAATGTAGGCTTGAGTCCTTAGAGAATTCGTGTCCTCGACCTGGCTCAAACATCGCAAGTACACCATGTGCGTGGGTGTAGTCGACCTTACATTGTAAATGTATGTAAATATGCATTTTTTTTTCTATCAAGAGAATTGAAGTTCCGCATTTCGGTATCGTATATGGAAGTTGTCTCAGTCGATAGCTTCTTGGAAACGAAGTTCAGACGACGTTATGATTACTCCAATTTTTAAAGCTGTTCAGCAAATGAACTGATAATTAATTTCTGTATTTCTTTTGGTTACACCCTGTCAGATCAGCATATACCTAAACAGAGCGACGGTCTTGCTTACGGGCAACTGAAGAACGCATCCAACCGGTATATAACCTGTCTGGTTTTTAAAATAAATGTCTGATTCAATAGATGTCTGATAAGAAGCTGAGCACGTTTGCTAAAACAAACTATCAGAGATATACTGTTAACTCACGTACACATGCTCGCGTTGGCTCGAGAGTGAGCTTCAGTGGATTCGTTTTGGATTTTTATCAACAGAGGCCTACACAATGAATGAAGTAGTTCCACTGATATAGGCCTGTTTAAAATCCAGACCTTAGTTTATTATATTGAGGACTTTACTTTATTTGTTATGTTTAGGTCCTTTTATTGATCAAGGCTGTCTATGCTAATCGATAGAATTCATTTGATGTCCGCTTCTAATTACTCGTCATTTCTAAAGATGTTATGCTCAAAGACGCTGCGTCAAAGTAGTTCATCTTGAAAAACTGAAAGGCTAATTTGAAAGTGATCAGTGACAGTCTGTAAACATTCTCCATCGTGAGCCATCCACAACCTGTCTAAGTCTCTCGAATTTCGAATGCTTAGCCATCCTGTACAACAATACTAATTCAACATTCGCTAATTAGTGATATTTGTGTGATTATCTTAGTTATAAATGGGTTGAACATTTTATCTTTTTATTTCAGGAAGTTCAGGAACAATTCATCATCCGTGGGTCAACGCTCTGTACGAAGTGATGACAAGTGTTTGTGTGTGAGGGAAGGGGAGGGGGGGAGGGAGGGGGAATCGGACGCCGATGATCACGCCCCCATGTGCAAAGCATCGCTTTTTAAATTACTTTTTAAGAATTCACTCGTTGCTCAGTTACTTCTGTCGCTTTCCCGCCAGTTTTTTCCCCGATCATTTGTGGGTTGGTTACATCACTGATGGATTTAATCCAATCAAAATAGCTGGAACATTGATGACAATAATACACGTTACTTTAAACTCCCTTTTGTCGGCTATTATTCTAAAATAGCGAACCTTAAACTCCGACAAATCACTAAGCGCTTTTGTAGATCGCACCTAAATGTCAAACTAGTTTTCACTTCTTTCAAAATTAAAAACATGTTCACTGTTAAAGATCGTACTCCTGATGCTCTAAAATCGATGGTAGTTTATCAATTTTCTTGTGCGGGATGTAATTCCCGTTATATTGGCGAAACTAGTCGCCACTACTCTTCTAGGATAAAGGAGCACACGGAAAGCGATAAAAACTCGCATATTTTTAAGCATTTTAACACATCTCCGTCTTGTAAGAACAAATACTCCCTTTCTTGCTTTAGTATTCTAGATTCTGCCAACAACTCAATTCATTTAAAACTCAAAGGAGCTTTTTATATGAGTAAGATCAAACCTGAATTTAACAAACAATTACAGCATTTTAACACTTTTCTAGCATTTTAGTTCACACCCAGTTATGTTTGTTGTCACGCTGTAATTAGTACCCGCTTTTGAATTACATCATACTGTAAATATTGTGTAAATATATGTTTGTTGTCACGCTGTAATTAGTACCCGCTTTTGAATTACATCATACTGTAAATATTNACACGTTACTTTAAACTCCCTTTTGTCGGCTATTATTCTAAAATAGCGAACCTTAAACTCCGACAAATCACTAAGCGCTTTTGTAGATCGCACCTAAATGTCAAACTAGTTTTCACTTCTTTCAAAATTAAAAACATGTTCACTGTTAAAGATCGTACTCCTGATGCTCTAAAATCGATGGTAGTTTATCAATTTTCTTGTGCGGGATGTAATTCCCGTTATATTGGCGAAACTAGTCGCCACTACTCTTCTAGGATAAAGGAGCACACGGAAAGCGATAAAAACTCGCATATTTTTAAGCATTTTAACACATCTCCGTCTTGTAAGAACAAATACTCCCTTTCTTGCTTTAGTATTCTGGATTCTGCCAACAACTCAATTCATTTAAAACTCAAAGGAGCTTTTTATATGAGTAAGATCAAACCTGAACTTAACAAACAATTACAGCATTTTAACACTTTTCTAGCATTTTAGTTCACACCCAGTCATGTTTGTTGTCACGCTGTAATTAGTACCCGCTTTTGAATTACATCATACTGTAAATATTGTGTAAATATATGTTTGTTGTCACGCTGTAATTAGTACCCGCTTTTGAATTACATCATACTGTAAATATTTTATTCATCTACTTGCCTGTTATATAATTACTCACGTTCAGTTACTCATTGATCGATTGAAGATGGCATAAGGATGCCGAAACATGTCTCTAAAAAAAGTTGTATATTTCTTACAATATTAATCCAATCAATTAGGTCTGGGCTTCCTTTTCAAAAGTAAATCTCAAATGGAGATGCATGTCTTAGAAGTGTTGATGAATGTGTTGAATAGGGAGACGTTTGGTAAACACTTAAACATTTCAAAAAAATTAAACCTGCTAGACATTCCGTCAGGTTGCATACTACTCTTTATGGCAGTCACGTCCATTTCGAAAAGCCCCGTTTTCTTGGGTGTCCCACTGTCTCGATTTGTGGTTTTCCCGAAAAACACTTAGTTACCAATTTTTGGCACACCTTTCTAGGGTACGTGATTATTCCCTTCTTTGACAAGATGTTAATATTGTAACAACATTTTGCAGCCAGATATTGCGTAATGCGACAGGTGTCTGTACCTAGGAATTGACGCAAACTTCTCACTGTAACCATGGTGAGAAACATGGACATGAAAATGTTTGGTGTGCTCAGCTTCAGAGGAAATAGAGGGGATCCCCTATTGCTTCGAGGATACTTCTTGCACGGTCACCGGGAAAGTCCTTACTCAATATCAGTGCTAATGTCAGTGTTATACCTCTACAAGTGTTCTTCCTTACGTCAAAGATACGTACATCTTTCTACCTTCACGTTTCGTCACCTGTTGTTCAGTATATATATTTGATCTCTAGAGAACATTGAGTACCAAGATCATGTAATACAATCAAACATTCCAACTTAATGATTAGAAAACATATTTCTCACGAAATAAGATCTTGGCTTCCTTTTCAAAAGTAAATCCCGAATGGAGATGCATCTCATAGAGGCAGGAATGAGTAAAAAATGGGTCTCGCTCTTAATGTATCCGAAATATTCCGTAAACTTAAACGACTCGAGGGGAGGGAGCCTTAAAAAGGTCAAATAGTACCAATCTACGAATTACGTTATAAACTAATCAGAATTAGATCCTTTGTAATCCTTTGGATCAGACATGTCATCTTTCCAGGGTGATCACCTTTTTAGGACATAACTGTTTCCTGATGCGTCGAAATTAGTTGCGCAATGATTTTTCCAGAAGGCTGTGTACTTCCCTGAACTGATATCAGCACTTTTCATGTAGTTCCTTGATACTGAACAGATAACACCACAAGAATGTGCTTAGTTGGTAAAAGCCGTCAACCGTTATCTGAAACACACAGGTTCAAAATCAGTTTCTGTAGTTTACTTTTGACAATCAGTTCGTCACGTATCCGCGCTCTGTTGATAGAGAAGTTTCATTGACGGCAATGGCAAACGTTAAAAGTTACGTCTAACCTTCGAAGAACCTAGAAAAACTGAAAAATTTCCCGTTCACCTTCGTGTCCAAACACTTGAAAGTGGACGGCAAGAAGCTTAATTTACATCATTTTCCGTTGTTGTTGTTTGTCGTAAACGTCATGTCTAACCTTGAACTAGTCTGCTAGTAAGTTTGCTAAAACGGATGAAAAGTAAGCTAAAACGGAACATGAAAACGAACTCTGATTTAATTCCCTAGTTCCTCGTTGAAATAACCCTGTTGTAACATGGCAATTTGTAATCGTTTTATTTTTTTCACGTCTAATGTAAATATTTTTGTCATAAAGTTTAAACATCCTACAGGAAACGGTGGGCAAATCGAGCTTTTTATATTTCCCATGCTAAACCTTTCTAAGGGATGAAAGTTAAGATAAAGGCGATTTGACTCAAACGACTTAAAAGTCTTTCAAAGCCCTGGAAGGGATTTAAAAGTGATTGCTCGCAAACTGCCTTCACAGAACTTGTTTCTATAACCATGGCTAGAGGAGACAGACTTGTTTCAAAATAATTGGCCGCTTGAAGAACAAGAAAATTGTCACATTAAAATTACTCTTGTTGAGGAAAATTAGTTATAAGTCATTCGCGTCTTATTGGTGACAGAAACGATTTTTTGTTTAAAAAACTTTCAACGCTGAGGGAAGGGAAATGAAAGTGGATAGACTGTCAAGGTTTAGATCCAATGCAGTTTAAACATCATGAGAAAAGACGATAGGTATAAAATAGGGCCTTTCATAGTCATTGATTGGTAAATTAATCAATCGGTAACTCGATTAATCATTCGATCAATAATTGATCAGTTGGGGAAGTAAAATGACTGCTTAGCACTATCTTTAAAACACACAGCATGGATACAGCGTCCAGAAACTGATCCTAAGGTGTCAGTTTATAAATACTTCTTAGATACCTTCTTAGTCTTACTTCTCTAAATTGTCTTCATTTTGCAATCGTATGACTATGAGCCTCGAGGCCATAATGGCATGTTTCCTAACAGATCACCAACTGCGGGGAAAACTACACTTCAGCGTTGCGACTGAGTTTTCAGCTCCTAGGGGTCTGTTACAACCAAACAATCCAAAGAGACGCAAAAGGGTAAGGAGACCAGAACTTTTCCAACGTGGGTGGTTTTAACGGGTTAGCACTTCCGAATCGATCTTAAGTTTAAGGAATCTCCCTTAAACAAGATTACCGGTAAACACTAACAGTGTTTTAAAACTTTGAAACGCCGCGAAAGTGTTAGTAAAAATCGGGATTTTTTGCTGCCCAAAGGAAATAGTTCTTATTGTCGGCGTTACATTTGTTGTAGACTACGAGAAGTCCCTCCCGTTTTTCAGGTTAGCGCGAAGCGGGGAACTCTTGGAGTGACGCCGATGCGCGACAGACTTCTCCGAAAAGGAGGGCCTGCTCGTACTCTACATTTTTTGCGACGCCTTAGCCTACTTCATGTATCACGCATCAGAGCCGATAACAGTGACATGTACTAAAACCCAGACGATAGACGATACATTACATGGCCAGTCCTAAAACCCAGACGGTAGACGGTAGATGGTAGACGTTAGATGGTGGACGATAGACGATAGGCGATCCCGATGGGCGATCCCGATAGGCGATAGACGGTAGACGATAGACAATAGACGATAGGCGATCCCGATAGGCGATAGACGGTAGACGATAGACGATAGACGATGGGCGATCCCGATAGGAGGTGGACGATAGACGGTAGACGATAGACAATAGATGAAGGGCGATCCCGACAGGCGATAGACGGTAGACGGTAGACGGTAGACGGTAAACGATAGGCGATCCCGATAGGCGATCCCAATAGGCGATCCCGACAGGCGATCCCGATAGGCGATCCCGATAGGCGATCCCGATAGGCGATCCCGATAGGCGATCCCGATAGGCGATAGACGGTGGAAGATAGACCATGGATCCTGTGACATAACTCAAAATTGTCACTTAATCGTGTTAAAGTCACATAATTCTTTCTTTCGCGCGGCGTTACTGTACGAAATTCAGATTGTCGCGAGAGAACTCGAGCCGAAGAAATTGAAGTTAATTTTTTTCTTTTCTTCGGCTCGGGCTCTCTTACGACAATTCTGAATTTCGTACGGTAAAACCGCGCGAAAGAAAGAATTATGTGACATTAACGCGATTACGTGACAATTTTGAGTTCCGTCACAGGATC